CAGCAAATATGATAAACACTTAATACACTTAATGAATTTACAATATTTCGTAATCTCATAGTAATAAATATTATTTCGAATAGATATATTTAGCATGTAGTAGTAGGTATAGTTAGGCGTTTATGAAAAAAATAAACTTTCACGTGTGTATATATATATATAATATCATGTTTACATGTGTATTTAATTTACATTAAAAGTGATTGTAAACCTGCATTAACGACTTCAAAAATTATGATCTCATAGGACCTTATTTTATTGATATAAAATCATCGCTGAAACAACGATATACAAATAAAAAATTATATATTGGTTGAATTTCATATTTGATCTAACATTTCGCTCCGTTGACCAAGACTAAAATTCTCATTGTCATCATTTTCCTCATCTTTTCTAATTTTTCTCTCGAAAGATTTTCCCAGTGTCTATCATCATTATTGTTATAGTCATCGTCTTCTAAGGAGGGATCATAGGTCAAATTATCTGATTTAATGCATAGATACAGTCCGGTAAAATGAGATTTTAGTCTTGCTAATTTCACTAATATATGAAAAGCATTTTTAAGGAAGAAACTTACCAAATCTATCTTTCTTATTTTTGTTATCAGATAAGTCGTCACCTTCGAATTTTTTTACTTTGAAATTTATCTTCTCTGAAACCTCCGTTTTCAAATTTCCCCAATCTTCTCCTCCAAACCACGTGTACATTCCTCATCGAATTCTGACGACAAATAGATTATTGATGAAAGACCAAGCCTGTACATATGCATATCAGTAGTTAATGTATAAATATTATGAATAATCTTAACAAACATGATATACCTTATGACGCTCAGAATCTTTCTATCCACTTTCTTTAATTGATTTACTTCTTCGATTTTTTTTGATGACATTTTTAGTAAAATATCCCTGACTTTTCTCCATTGCTTAAAACCCATCCCTTCTCATTAAGTGTGTCGATGTACTCATCAAATGTAAATTTACTAAAGTTGGTAATTCTTCCCTCTTCTTCATCTGAATCTTCAGCTTCAGTTTTGCTTTTTTCTTCTTCAGTAGAAGTAGAGCTATCGGAATAATAATCAAAACCTAATAAACGTTTCTTGAAGTTCTGTGTGAAAAAAACCATTAAGTTAATCAATTCATGATTTTTTATGTATCTAAATAATGACATACTTGATTAAGATCATCATCAGAAGAGCGTTTGCATGGTACAGAATCAAACTGAGCATTTTGATTTGTCTCTTGAGTAGTCTGTTGTTAAATTGATAGGGCATTCATCTTATTATAGCATATTTCTATTGTCATTCAGAACCGTAAATAAAGAACATCTTGTGGCTTACATTAAATATAAATTCTGGTAAATTTCCTTCAAATGTGTCTTCATTTTCTCTTGAAATTGCTTCGTCGCTCCCTGTAAGAATACGATTAGCGACAGAGAGATGGTGTTGCGCCTATTTTGAAAATAATAATAAAATAAAAATAAATGATTATACATTATATATCACCATAATATTTTATTCTATTTTACTTGAAGCTTCGAATCTTCAGAGATGCTTTTTTTTTAATTCCTCTGAGTTTTGTAACGTGCATTTTTTCTGCCCAAAAAAGATATACCGGACCACCTTTCTGTGAATCAAACTAAGAAATAAGTTAATATAATTAAAATGGTCTAGTGGATCAGATTGTAGCAGGAGTACCGTGCAGGAGACGTAGTCCCACGAGTCCCTACAGCCAATATATTATTGAAATTTTTTCTTTAGGTATTTTGCTTTTTCCTGTTTGTCCTTGGCGCCGTTTGCTATTAACCATTCGATTTGTTCATTGAAAGCTCTTGTTACCGTTGCTTTATCTGGCTCCAGTAATAAAGTGTTTTCCCAAAAAACACGATAACCTAATGGATCCCAATCGTTTACCAAAGTTTGAACAAAGTAATCAAACCCGTCCTTTTCGAAAAAAATTTATTTTGCAAAAAAGATCAGCAGGAAAAAGGCTATTATAAATTGTGTTACACGCTAAAAATAATAATTTTTGTGTATTAAAATGTTGCACGACATTATCCAATATTAGATTCATAATTTTAGAAACAATATGGAAAAGACATTCAACTATTTCAGAGACTGATATCGATATTGGATCTGGATAATTACATTTAATGAGCGAAAAACTTTGATGTGAACTTATTTTTTTTTTAAATTATGATAACTTTATTTTCTATATACAAACTAATACAGGTCACTCCTGTTATAAGGACAGCTCGTTATAGTGACAATCCGTTATAGTGACATTTTTTCAAAAACACATTTTATAAATATAAATTTACTCCCGTTATAATGGCATTCATTATGTATCCCGTTATAAGACTATAAGGACATAATTGGACAAAAAATTTTTTAATAAAATTTATCCCGTTATAGTGACATCCGTTATAAGGACATGTCAGTACAACGAGAGAACCAATCAAATTGCTCAA